ACGATCGTCCGTCGCGATCGATGTGCGAATTGGTTACCCTATTAGCTATGCTGTAACCATGATACAGCTCGTTTTTTGGCCAAAAATTCTGTACAGCACGTGATTGCGACTGATCACTGATCGCGGGAGATGTGTCAATTCTCAGTGGCGATCGTTACAACTTCGCGATCGCCACGTTCCGCCAATCGATCTGCCCAATCGATTGTGGGGCTCGATATTTGCAGACGATCCTGCGATTTTTGCACTTCTACCGCGTCCTAAAAGTGTGTCGTTCTGAATTTTAAATGCGTTCAGAGGAATTCTGTGCGGTGCAACAGCGATCCTGCGATCGATCCTGCAAAATTTCTCGAGGTGCCGCGTCCTTGCTGCAGCATGAAATGTCCTTATTCTTGCGCGTTACTGCAGAGCTCGATAGGACATAGCGCCTTTCTGTTTTTTTTTTACGCAACATTCTCGCTATGAATGAAGTAATTGCAAAATTGCTTGCTTATCGAGAGCGCCCATACACATCATACCTGCCCTCTGCACTCCCCCACCCATCTTGCATTTTACTCCTTTTTCACACTCATTCTGCCGGCTACAGCAATAGCACACGTACCTAGTGCACTCCGACTATACCAAATACTCAATATACGGTAGGCAGCTTTGCATCCGCAATACTAAGTTTTGAGCATCAGAGGTTTGTTCAAGCAATATAATCACATAAGATTTCTACAGACTCAAAACATCTACAGCACTCACTCAATTCGGAAATGCCTTCAAACAAGGCAGAAAAAATGCGGAATTTATACATCTGGTCGTAGGCATGGATTTCCGAAGTTGGCGCGTCCATATCACAGCAGCTGGGCCTAAGCACTTCCATGACAGCGCAGAGACGTAAATATGTACAATTACGTCGAAGGTACGCTGGCCATACGAGCTCGCGCGATTCGCGTTCGGGCAGCCCAGTGAAAAACGGATTCATCGGGAACTACTCGCGCCAGGGGAGACGTCGGCAACGGGTTACCACTCTCGATGGATGCAGTTCGCCAGACAGGCCGTGACGTGGCAGCACCAGGCGAATTCCCGAGCGAGTGCGAGTTGGAGTACGAGTGCACGTGCGACTGCGACTGCGACCGAACCGGATTATCGACGTCAATGCGGTCCCCGTTCGTGGTATTATCCTCGACGGGACATGACGATGTGCGAAGAGGAGCGACGGGGAAACATATCCGTGGCGAATTAGATCCACTGTTACCAGCACTGGGGGTGCTGCTGCTACAGGTGGAACCCACACTGCCGCCAGAACTCGTGCTTGAACACCCCGTGGTTACCCCTCCCGCGCCCTCCCGACCCGCGGTTACCCGTTGTGCTGCCTCCACCACTCCAGACGACAGTCGTCGCGTCCTTTCTCCGCGTCTAGTGACGGCGGTTGCGACATCTGCGAGCTCGTTACCGGACGACGTGGATCGCGCGACAACTCCGCTGCTGCTGACGGGGAAGGGAACGGCAGCGCTGCCGCTTCTAGGGGAGGAAGAGGAGGCGACAGCAGAAGCGGAAGCGGAAGCGCCAGCGTTGGCGAGGACTGCGCAAGACTGCGTGCGGAGCAGCGTTGTGCGGAGGCTCTGCGAGCTCTCCCCGTTGCGCGCAGCCTCCCAGAAGAGCAGGCGCTGATTGGTGCGCTGAAACGTGGGCTGCTTCCATTGCCACGCTTCTCGTGAAGCGTGGCACGCTTGCGACTGGCTGTCCAGAGAGCTTTGCCGGCTCGAGTCGCGCGAGACGGGGAAAAGCGCCGAATGCGGCAGCCCGACTAGAGGCGACGCGGCGGGGAAAGTGGGGGCGTCGGCATAAGAAGGAATGGCAGATGGCGCCATGGGGGAAGAAGTGATTAGGGAGGAAGCAGTAGTGTTGCCGTCAGCAGGAAAAGCCTCGGCGGGGGAAGACGTGGAGGAAGAGGAGGAGAAAGAGGCGGCGGCGGAAGAGGAGGCGGCGGAAGAGGCAGCAGGGGAAGAGGAGGAGGTGACAGCAGAGAGCGCGTAGATGCGGAGCGAGCGGATGTGGTCGGAGCAGTCCGCGGGGAGCGACGAGGCCTTGACGAGGGGAACCGCCGGCGGCGGCATGGCGACAGTCGGTAAGGGAATTAATACTAACGACTTGTGCGTCTCGTTGGGAGGAAAGAAATGGTTCAGTCGATTTACTATTCGGTCACGCTGCTGAGCGACTCGGGATTGCTGGCTGTATATTGTCGCGGTTTGTCTCGAAGTCGCGAAGTCTAAGTCAGGGGGATCGATGTTGGTCGCGTTGCTGTAGGGCCGGACGCAATCGGCTTAATTCTGCTTCTCTTACTAACACGAGACTCTTTGAGTTTTGTCGATTTGATCGAGGCTAAATTGATGCTATTCTGCTCTGGAATGGCTGTCTCGCAAAGTGCACCCGACAGGAAATTTGGTACGGAGATTAAGGGAGCAGCTGGCTAATGATCGCAGGGGAGTGCTGTGGTTTTTAAGTTGGAAAACGCGATGAATGACGGAAACAGAACAGCGAGGGAAGGAGGTGGGTAGGAAGACACCGCGGCGAAGGGTGGAAATGAGAAAGGCGGTGTGATTGCTGAAGTGCCAGCTAGCTGTTGGTTCTGTTCCTGTCACGCGGATGCTGAAATGGTTTTGACAGCCTGTTCCGCTGCGACAGCAACAGGGAGTGCCTGCATCTGCATTGCATCACTTTGACTGCAGTGTTTGCGGTGCTGCAAGGTATGGGAGGTTCGCTTCACACATGGGCAGCGATGGTTCTGAAAGGTATGGGAGGGGGGGGGGGAGAAACGCCAGCTGCAAGCATGTGGTTGCTGCTATTGCAGCGCCATGCCAGTTCCAGAGTGGTGCGCTGACGTGCCTCCCCCTCCCACGCAACCTCCTCCCGCCCGTGACTCGGAGGGGTTGAAGGGATGAATGGAGATGTGGCGGCCCGGCGGGCGGGAATAGCGGTTGGGGGGTTTGCAACAGTGATGTTCCAAGTTTCAGGTCCAGGCTTGGGTCTTGGGTGACGGGAGGGAGGGGCGGGCAGGGGAGGGTGTTGTGGGTGAAAGTTTCGCGAAGCAAGGCATGGTCTGGTGTACAGTGCTTAGTTGTATGGTGAATTTTACCTTTCTTAACCACCCTGAACTTTCGTTGCCCGCAACCCTGCCTCCTCACACAGAGTGATTTTCCTCTTGACAGTTTTGGTAGTGCCTAAACGTAATTTAAAGTCGACAAAACGACGGGAAAAGTCGACACATTCTGCCCTCGGATTCGACATCTGACGGTTGTCATTTCTCGACGTTTCTCAACATTTTTACTGGGGAATGAAGCTATGTTCATCATGTTCCTACACGTTTCCTTAGCAGTATTGCAGTATAGAAATTCTAAAATTTCTTTCCCTCACGTGACCCTACGATCTCGCTAGCCCCAGCAGCTTGTGTTCGACAGCCTCGGAGCTACGGAGGGCATCACTACACAACAAAATTCGCATGTGCAAGGGACCTGGCTGGCTGGCTGGATCCCGTGTCCAGAATTTGATCCCCGTACAGTCACCGAACTGATTGTTTGTTTGTACACAACTCTTGGCTACGAGGCTGAGTTGACCCGAAACAAGTCCTGAAGATCCGGGGAAGCGGGCATATCCAGCCCTTAAATTTAGGCCATTCAAGGTCAGTAAGGGAGAGGGGAGGAGAGGGAGCAGGTGCGTGGGAAATCCGTGGGAGGCTCCGAGCCGGTCCGTCATGAACCCGGGTCGAGAAAATTCAACCCTGAAAATGTCCGTGCTGAGATGCAACTAGCCCTACATTCTCAGGATAAACGGACAATTATCCGTGAATGTTCAGGCTAGGTGTGAAACCACAAATAGTGAACCATCTCAGTTGCGCTGTACATGAAGCAAATGATGTTGATGGTGGAGGAAAACACTATGTGAGAAAAGCTTGTGATTGGGTTCGACGACAGCAGAGTCTGGTTTCGAAGGTGTGTGTTGACCACAAAGGTCGCTCTGTGGTGATTGTTCGCTGGCCTTTATTTGCCATGTGATTGGTCCTTTTCACAAGAAAGAACACTAGCGTCGGTCTGAAGTTTTCCGCTCCGCACTGGTGTTTTGTCGATGCGCAGGTTGATTCGTCAGAGATCAGAGCGTTTGGGTTTGGTTTCGATGGAACGTCGGGCAGTCATTCAATCCTGGACGACGACGCCGACTTGCCTCCAGCTGTTTTGGGAGCGCTGTGATTGGAGCACCCACCCTCCCTTTGTCGCACAGCTCATCCCGCATGGACTGTAGCGTCGAAGGGATCTCACGCCCCAAGCCGCATTTTGTACTATACTGTTGCTAGAACGTGATATCATGAATGACGACGACGGCAGCATGTTGCCTCGCTCGCTACCCTCCCCCCGACAAGCAGCACTCGGGTCGGGGTACGATCGCCAGCGGTCGAAATTGCAGGAGCGTGGGGGCAATGACATTTGAAATCGACTCGATAAGGACATCATCTCCTCCTCATTCGCGTTGGACGAAAAGAGGTGTACATCACTCAAGTTCGAAATATTCCTCATCCATCAACCTTGTGAATTCATCCTTCCATCTATACGTATCCTCCCCAGGTTTGTTAGCCAGAGCACAAACCAACCATATTCCCCCAGGCGATGTAAATTTTCGCGCCAAATTCCGTTCCGACCTGGTTCCCCACAGTTGAGTAACAAAGGGCCATGTAATGCAGGTTAGTCCACCAACATTCGCCTCCATTCAATTTCGCCTTCATTCAAGTCCTTCACGATACGCCAACCTCCGTGTTCGGTCTAATGTTGCGGCGTTTCCGATTCGTACGACTCGGATCGTTGCCCATCCAGCCACACGCCGCCCTCTCGCGCCTCCTTCCGCTACAAAATGCTCCCCTCACATTACTGCGCGCCCTTCCGCGGGCGCCCCCGCGCGCATGTCCCCCTGATGCGCGTCCGCGCCACCTCACGCTGGTGGCGGGGTGGCGGAACCACGGGGGGGGCGCGATGAAGCAGCGCCCCAAGGACTGGCGCCCGCAGTCCACCCCCTTCCACACGCGCAACCGCAGCCCCCGGCGGAACGACCGCGCCGTTCCGCTGGGCCCGCGAGGCGGAAACGGGGGCGATGGCGGAAACGGTTCCGCAGAGAGCGCAGGGCGGATGCAGCGCGATGTGGCGGATCTGGGCGCGGAGTGGCGGTTGGGGCCGGGGGAAGCAGTGGGGAGAGTTATGTCCGCGCAGGCTAACTTCGTACGCGTGATTGTGACGAGATGCTGTGTGAAAAGCGAGAGAGAGGGCATCGAGGAGCGAGGAGAGGAGTCGGGAGGTAGAAACGGTCACTCTCACCAAGGTGGGATTTTTCGAAGCTGTGGAATAATCCGCTCCCACAAAAGCCCTGAACCCCCACCCTCGCCCTTCTTCCCGACAACCCCCGATCCCCGCAAACCCCAACTCCTCCCCTTTTTTTCCGAACCTTCTGCAAGACCCAACTCCTTCCCCGCCCCCAAGTTCTGAACTTCGAAATCCGAAGCTGCAGGCAGAAGCGATCAGTTACCCACCCACGGCAGGACGCATATAGGTCCAAGCAAATTAGAGTATCGCAGTGGGGCCGACTCTGCAAGTGTCATTAGAACCCATCCAACTTTTGCCTGCCTCCCTGCATGCATGCCACACAACCATTTTTGCAGGCGTGGGAGTGGAGAGCGGAGGGGCTCAATGGGGCAGACACCGCAAGTGATATTGAAGTGTTCTTGAGACGTCTCAAAAAAAAAAAAAAAAAAAAAAAAAAAAAAAAAAAAAAAAGGGACAAAACAAATGTTTAAAATGTTTACGCGGAGGAGCTCAATGGGACATCGGAACACTGCAAGTGGCATCGGAACCCATCCTTATGCATCTTACCCTCCTTCCCGCCCCCATGTGTGCAGGTGGGGAAGGAGAGACGGCGGGTGGCGCGGCGGAGCAGCAACTGGGGGAGCGGGGGCGGCAGGGGGAGGGTGCAAAGCGGGGAGAGGGGAATGCGGGTACAGAAAGAAGGGAGGGGAGAGAGGAGGAGAGGGAGGGGGTTGAGTTGCTGTGTGTGGTGCGAGCACTACTGAAGAAGCTAAGGAGGAGGGTTCTAGTGGGGGACGTTGTAAGACTAGGTGGAATTGATTGGGCTGCCCGCCAGGCTGTCGTTCAAGACGTTGCCCTGCCCCGGGCATCTGAAATTTTGGACCCGCCCGTGGCGAACGCGGACCACCTGCTGCTGCTTTTTTCGCTTGCCCAGCCGCCGCCCGAGCCGACGAACGTGAGCCGGTTTCTGGTGGCTGCAGAGGCGACAGGTGTCGCCGTGTCATTGGTGTTCAACAAGGCGGATCTCGTGGATGGGGAGGTGAGGGATTTGCTGATGTGTCATGGGTTCGTTCGTTTTTGTTTTTTTTCTCTCTCTCTTTGAAGGACTGGGCTGGTCTGTTTGGTGGCACAGGGTGAGGCACATTATGGGGCATAGGATGGGGGGACAGGGTGGGGGACAGGGTGGGGGACAGGGTGGGGGACAGGGTGGGGGACAGGGTGGGGGACAGGGTGGGGGACAGGGTGGGGGACAGGGTGGGGGACAGGGTGGGGGACAGGGTGGGGGACAGGGTGGGGGACAGGGTGGGGGACAGGGTGGGGGACAGGGTGTGGGGGACAGGGTGTGGGGGACAGGGTGTGGGGGACAGGGTGGGGGACAGGGTGGGGGACAGGGTGGGGGACAGGGTGGGGGACAGGGTGGGGGACAGGGTGGGGGACAGGGTGGGGGACAGGGTGGGGGACAGGGTGGGGGACAGGGTGGGGGACAGGGTGGGGGACTGGGTGGGGGACAGGGTGGGGGACAGGGTGGGGGACAGGGTGGGGGACAGGGTCGGGGACAGGGTGGGGGACAGGGTGGGGGACAGGGTGTGGGGGACAGGGTGGGGGACAGGGTGGGAGGACGATTTGTGAGGTGTAGCATCATGCACAGGTCACATCATCACAGTCTGCATGGGTGTAGTGTGGCTTACAAGCCTGCTTGGCCCTTTCTCTCCCACCCTTATCCCCTCCCTCCCCTCCCCTTCCCACCCCTCCCCTTCCTTCCCCTCCCCTGACCTCCCTCCCTCTCCTCCCTCCTCCCTCTCCTCCCTCCTCCCTCTCCCACCCTCCCCTCTCCCCCATTAGGTAGCGAAAGAGTGGCAGCAGCGGGCAGCGGAATGGGGTTACCACATGCTCACATGCAGTGTGGAGCAGCGAATGGGAATCCGCCACCTGGCAGGCCCAGGAGGGCTCCTGGCTGGTCGCACTACAGTGATTGCCGGGCCTAGTGGGGTTGGCAAGTCGAGCCTTATAAACGCTGTTTTAGGGGAGGCTTATAACGGGGACGCTGATAAAGGGGAGGTTTGTGATGCGGATGGCTTGAAAGAGGGAGGGGAGGGAGTAGGTGGAGAGGCTAAATTTGAGGAGCTGAGGGTTGGGGAGGTTTCGAAACGGAGTGGGAGGGGGCGACACACAACACGACACGTGGCCCTTGTGAAGATACCTGATGTGACTATAGAGGTAGAAGCTGCTGCGAAAGTACCAGATGTGACTGTAGAGGGAGGCGATAGTGCAATGGTATATGATGTGACTGTAGAGGGAGCCACGAGCGAGCCAGTGGAGGGAGTGAAAGTACAGGTCGAGGACGCAGTTTGCGATCACAACAACAGCGCTAGCAACAGCAGTAGTACTAACGGAACTAACAGTAATTGCAGTAGCAGCAGCGATCTAAGCAGCAACAGCAGTAGAAGCAGCGGCAGCAGCAGCAGCAGCAGTAGCACCACAAGCAGCAGCAGTGGCGGGCTGTTAGCTGATTCACCGGGCTTCAGCCAGCCTTCCCTTGCCAACGTCTCCTCCTCCGACCTCCCCATGCTCTTCCCCGAGGTACCCTTTCAAGTTGACTCTTTGTATTTATACATATATGTACATACACACACACACGTATATATATATATATATATTTAGAATAGTATACATATTCTGGATGATATATATGTAGATAACTATACATATATATCCTGGACAATGTATGCATCCAGCAATCATAACTGCAATTCTATTCAATAGTTTCTTGCTCCTCCCACCTCCCCAAGCTCTTTCCTGTGGTTACGCCACATGTCTCCACTCTGCTCTCCTCTATCCGCGTATGTGTCTCCCCCATCCCTCTCCCCTTCCCTCACCCTCCTCCTTCCCATCCCTCTCCCCTTCCCGCTTTGTCTTCCCCATACCCCTTTCCATTCTGACCTCTTATCCCGACAACACAGATTCGTTCCCGCCTAGCTGCCTCCCCCGCTCCCTGCGCATTCGCCGACTGTCGCCACATCAGCGAACCCGGGTGTGCGGTGGACAGCGGTTGGGAGCGGTACCGGCACTACGTGATGTTAATGGACGAGATCAGAGCGCGGGAAGCAGCTGAAATCCGGGCCGTTGGTACAAAGAGGGAGGGCGATGTGAGGTTGAAGAGTGGGGGATATGGGGTGGTAGTGGCAGAGCCGAGACTAGAAGCCAAGAAGCACAGGAGAGAGTCTAGAAAGAAAGGGAAGCAGCTGCTGCTGCAACAACTGGCTGTGGAGGAGGAGGAGGAGGAGGAGGACGAGGAGGAGGAGGAGGGAGTGGGGTTTGCAGGAGGGTATGAGGGGAGTGGGAAGAGGCGGTGAGGGTGGGGGAGAATTTTTATAATTTTTAAACACATTCGTGTTTTTCAAAATTGTGTATTGTGAAAGCGAAGCTGACTATACCGATTATTTTGGCATTGTCGAAGCGCGCTAAACGTCTTTTCTCCAACTACAAAAACCGTGGGTTGGAGTTCATTCCCTCCACCCACGTTTCTCCTTTTCCAACGGCTCAATCAACATTAGAACGATGCCAAATTATAAGGACAAGAAAGCAAGCTTTCTCAATAGGGCGAGAGACACTGGGGTGGGAATTGAGAGAGGATATTGGGTGGACTGTGGGATATGAGGTTGAAGAGTGGGGGTTATGGGGAGGTGGTGGCCAAGCCGAGATTAGAAGCGAAGAAGCACAGGAGAGAGTCTAGGAAGAAAGGGAAGCAGCTGCTGCTGCAACAGCTGGCCACTGAGGAAGAGGAGGATGGGGAGGAGGACGATTGCAGGGAGGGTGCAAAGGGAGTGAGAGAGATGCGGTGTGAGTGACTGTTTAGGGAGCCGAGGGTAGACTTGTTGGGCTGAGAAAAGCCCTTAGGATCTTTTGCAGGGGTAAATTCGGGGTAGGACTATTGTAATAGCGGAAGCGTTTAATGAAGACTTGTGAACCACCTTGCACTAGTGTGTGAGAGCAAAGTAAGTTGATTATAACAAAGAGATACAAGAATATATAGTAGTACAAGGAATACGAAAGGATACGATTGTAACTAATTTGCTGTTGCGGTTCGATACAGTACGACTCGGGCAACTGCTCTGTAACGAGTCAGTTGTGTGTCCTTAACTGTCGCGCTGTACTTGTCAGGTCAAAGGTCGCTTGACCTTTGACTTTCGCGTAACCTCCAGCAACCTCTTTCAACCTCCGAGGGTTGACTCGCTCGTGCCTCGATATGACTCGCTTCGTTTCGTGTGTGATGTTTCGACACGACAGAGGCGCTTTAGGAATTACTTGTTTCCAACACTCCCCTTCGCTTCTGGAGTGTCGCTGCTGGTGACGTGGCCTTGTCCAGTCAGCAGCATGCAGTACTCGAACTTCTGCTTTCCGAGCTTCTTGGTCAAATAGTCGGCTGCCATCTCGGACGTGGGACAGTATGATAGTTCGAGTCTCCCCTTCTCGATCTCGTCTTTCACGAAGAAATATCGCAGGGCGATATGTTTCGTTCTGTTCGCGAAGCCACTTTTGTTGGCGATGCGAATTGCAGATTGGTTGTCGCAGAACAGAGTGAAATTGGGTAACTCGGCCAACTTCGCTTCTTCCAGCAGCTCGCGAAGGTAAAGTCCTTCCTTGGTGGCTGAGCAGAGTGCGATATATTCTGCTTCAGCTGATGAGAGGGCGATTAGTTCTTGCTTACTCGACTGCCAGGAGATAGGACCGATAGGCTCGAGGCGGTAGATGTAGCCGGTGCGGGATCGCCTATTGTCGGAGTCGCCGGCGTGATCGGCATCGACATAACCGATTAGCTTAGTCGGTGTAGTTGCATTCCTGTGATACGTTAGGCCGATCGTTGGAGTGCTGACGAAGTAGTGAAGAGCGCGGTCGAGCTCCGCCAGGTGTTCTGCTTCAGATCTTTTGAGGTAGGTAGCGAGCTGGCTTGCGGAATACGAAAGGTCGGGGCGGCAAGTGACAGCTGCGAAGAGAAGACATCCCAGTTTTCTCTGGTAGTCGCGAATCCCGGCAGGCTTGAGTAGAGTAGATTCTCCCTTGTTGTTTCCTGTCGTGTAGCGATACGGTGTGGAGATGGCGGTTGGCGTGAGGTTGAAGCGCTTGGCGATGGTGTCGGCGTACTTTGCGGCGCTGAGGTGTCAAACTATATGTGCTGCATATTGTCTAGGCTGTAGTGGGGTAGCCCATATGGGGTACAACCCAATTAGGGTTTACTACTTGTACTCCTGCATCCTGTTAGTTCAGCCATTCCTGCTGCTAGATTTTGACATGGTTTCAGAGCACTAAGGTCCGTAGGACCGTTTTTTTTTCGGGCCCACCTACCGCTGCGGTTACCGCGCTACCCCACGTACCTGCCTGCCTTGCCTTGCCTTGTGACGTGCTGCACAAGCGCTGCCTCCTGCTGCCCTAGGCCAGCGCGCTGCCCCTAGAGGCCCGTAAAGCCCGCGCGCCGCCTCTACACGCCTGTCAGGCCCGCAAACACGCTGCTACCGCGCGCTGCCCGCACCGAAACCGCGCAGCCCGCACCGAGTCGCGCGCAGCCCGCTGCAGCCACGCGCAGCCCGCACCGAGCCGCGCGCAGCCCGCTGCTGCCGCGCGCAGCCTGCACCGAGCCGCGCACAGCCCGCTGCAGCCGCGCGCAGCCCGCACCGAGCCGCGCGCAGCTCGCAGCTGCCGCGCGCAGCCCGCGCCGAGCCCACGCAGCCCGCGTCGAGCCGCGCGCGGCCTGCTACTGCCTCGCACGGCCCGCGCGCGGCCCGCAACAGCCCGCGCCGAGCCGCGCGCGGCCCGCTACTACCTAGCGCGGCCGCGCGCGGCCTGCAGCAGCTCCGCGCGCTGTCCGCGCAGCCCGCGCCGAGCCGCGCGCGGCCCTCTGCCTCGGCCCCGACCTGCCGCTGATGCGGCCCCGCCCCGCAGCTGCCACGGCCCCGACCTGCCGCTGATGCGGCCCCGCCCTGCAGCTGCCACGGCCCCGACCTGCCGCTGACGCGGCCCCACCCTGCTCCTGCCGCTGAAGCGGCCCCGCCCTGCAGCTGCTTCGGCCCTGCTCTTCAGCCGGTGTTGCGGCCCCGACGTCGCCGCTGTCGAGCGCCGGCCATGCTCGCCCGGTGAGCGCCTGCTCTCCCAGCCTTTGGTGAGCGACTGCCTGCCTGCCTGACGGCCTGCCTGCCTGCCTGCCTGCCTGCCTGGCTGCCTGCCTGCCTGCCGGCCTGCCTGCCTGCCTGCGCGCCTGCCTGCCTGCCTGCCGGCCTGCCTGCCTGCCTGCCGGCCTGCCTGTCTGTCTGCCTGCCTGCCTGCCTGCCTGCCTGTCTGCTTGCCTGCCTGCCTGCCTGGCTGCCTGCCTGCCTGCCGGCCTGCCTGCCTGCCTGCGTTCCTGCCTGCCTGCCTGCTTGCCTGCCTGCCTGCCACGCCTGCCCTGCCCGCGCTAATGATACTGGCAGGTGGTCAGATGCAGCTCCAGCGACGTTCACGCGAGCCTCTCACGCCCCAGCAGCTTAGTGAGTGGTATACTAGCTGGGGTTGTCGCGGTAGCCGTCGTAGCTGTCGCCCTGGGGCTGGTCAGTTGGGAGCGTCTAGCAGTGGCCAGCTGCAGCTGCAGGGGCGTCCACGCGAGACACTTACGCCTCGGCAGCTCCAGGAGTGGTACGCTCAGTGTAGCAGGTCTACACGTACAGTTCGCTGCCCGTACGTCATTCGCACAGGTGCTAGGACTGGTCAGCCTTGTGGGACACTTGGTCACACACAGTCCCGCTGCTTCGCCCGTCTGAGCGACGACTGGCGCACAGTGTTTGGCGACGAGGCTGAGCTCCCCACCTGGCTAGAGCTGCATGGACAGGGGGTAGATATCTTTGCGCGTGACTATGATGCTATTCTCACTGCCATGTATGCATTGTCTACTAGTGCTGACCGTGCCTGTTGCCTGTGCGTACCGCCTGACCCTGGTGAGGCTGCTGCCCTAGGTGCTAGTGCGTCTCCTGCTCTAGGTGCTGGTGAGGCTGCTGCTCTCGGTGCTAGTACGTCTACTGCTCTAGGTACTGGTGAGGCCGTGGCTTCAGGTGCTGCTGTGTCTGCTCTCTCTGGTACTGCGCCCACTGCGGTCTCGCACACCTTCACCCTTGACTCAGGAGCTTCCCGCTCCTTCTTTCGCGACTGCACCGCACTCACGCCGCTCCGTCGGCCAGTCCCGGTCTCCCTGGCGGACCCCTCTGGGGGTCCAGTCCTTGCCCACTACTCCACGGTTCTGCCGTGTCCGGCCGTCCCGTCCGGCTCGCTGTCAGGTCTTTACCTCCCCTCGTTCTCTACGAACTTGGTGAGTGGAGCTGACCTCCAGGATGGGGGGGTTCACCAGTTCACTCCTGCGAGTCAGCGAGTGACTCACTGTACGTGTGCTAGGACGGGCCGGCACTTGGCCACGTTCACCCGTGCACCTGGCTCGAGTCTGTACACACTGACCACTGAGTCCCCTCAGGTAGCTGCGTCTGCGTCTGCGTCTGCGTCTGCGTCTGGTCAGCTGGCGGCCCCCTGCGAGTGTCGCGCTTTGTCGCACGACACTCTCCTGTGGCACCACCGCCTTGGTCACCCCTCCTTGCCTCGCCTGCGTAGCATGCACTCTCGCTCCCTGGTCTCTGGTCTCCCCAGGTCTCTGCCTGCCCTCCCTCCCTCGCCTGCGCCGCCCTGCATTCCTTGCGTCGAGGGGCGGCAACGCGCTGCTCCTCACTCCTCCTCGTTTCCTCCCACAGAGGCTCCACTGCAGACGCTCCACCTGGACGTGTGGGGCCCAGCCCGCGTCCAGGGACAGGGCCACGAGCGGTACTTCCTGCTGGTTGTCGACGACTACACGCGTTACACCACGGTCTTCCCCTTGCGGACCAAGGCGGATGTCCCTGCTGTTTTGATCCCCTGGATCCGCGCTGTTCGTCTCCAGCTCCGCGAGCGGTTCCGGTCGGACTTTCCTGCCCTGCGTCTGCACTCTGACAGAGGTGGTGAGTTCTCCTCCGACCTCTTGGCAGCCTACTGTGCGGAGCACGGCATCACCCAGTCGTTCACGCTTCCGGCCTCTCCGCAGCAGAATGGGGTTGCTGAGCGCCGCATTGGCTTAGTCATGGAGGTCGCTCGTACCTCCATGATCCATGCGGCTGCCCCCATTTTCTGTGGCCGTTTGCGGTCCGGTATGCCGCGCATCAGCTCAACCTTTGGCCCCGTGTCTCCTTGCCGGAGACCTCGCCCACACTGCTGTGGACGGGGAAGGTTGGCGATGCGTCGCGTTTCCGGGTCTGGGGTGCTCGTGCCTTTGTTCGCGATACCACCGCGGACAAGCTCTCCGCCCGTGCTG